ACGTAGGTTCCGAGAAGAAAAAGGAGCAAAGATAGGCAAGTCAACCCAGCTTCTCCTTTCCGAAGATCAGATCAGAAAAGAATTGAATAGTATGCACTTTGTTATACTGATTGTAGTTGGCATGTGATTAAAGATTTGAATTGGATATGCTCTTTGTAAAATCATATGATTGTATTTAATGTAAATTATTCGATTTTTTTTTAATGTGAAATTAAAAAATTTCAGTTATCTTGTAAAAGTAAATTATTTGAAAAGTCTATGTGACACCTCGGATTCGTATCCGGGTCGGATAAGGGTTGGGGGTGTTACAATAACAGTAGAAACCGTAACAGTTAGGTTACATAAAATTAGCCTTGTGTGACGCTCGGGAAACAGCCAGGACACCCGAGTTACTCTTAGAAGAAATACGACAGTCAGTGGATCTAAGTCAGTGCCACGACACTTCAGCAGCCGACTGGGTTCCAGATGCCCTAAGACTCGATGAAGTGGTTGACGGGTGTAAGTTTCTGATGACAGAATTTCAGATTCCCACCCGGTATGCTAGAAGGGTATGAGCTCCGAGATGGTAGAATCCCTCCGTCGTACCATGATGCCTGCCACAGTTTAGCATATTAGTTTTCAGTATATTATGCCTTCGCATGTTTCAGACATGTGTCGTTGGTCAGCTATTTAAATGAATGCATATAGTATAATATAGTTATTAGTGAGGCACTGAGCTCGTAAGCTTAGTGTTCAAAATGTGTTTCCGCGTGTAGGTTCTTATGGGGCAGATCGTGGGGAGTTATCGTCAGTAGGTATTCCAGTGCTGCAGACCAGACCAGCAGTGACTATCAGTGTACGTCTTGAGTCTTCTTTAGAGGGCATGTAATATTTATGGACCCTTTTTGTATATTCAATTGTAACTTTGATTTGTACTGGTGCTGTATTTATTTTAGGTGTGTTTTGGGAGCTCCCCATTATTTTGTAAACTCAGATTATTACTATGTTTGTTTTAATATTATGGATGAACTATTTCAGTGAATTTAAAAACAATTTTAAAGATAAAATTTTGGGTCACTATTTCAGTAGTCCCGTGTGACATTGTAATCAATGGATCTTCGGGTCAAATTGGATCTTCGGGTCAAATTGGATTAGGGTGTTACATATCACTTAACGGTAAAATTTAACTATAGTGATGGTCCATATACCTAAAAGTATAATGTTAAAAATGTTAGTTTAAAGAAAAAAATTAGACATATGATGTTAATTTTAGGTATAGTTTGAGCACTTATTTTTACATTAAGTCTAATAATAATAATAATAATAATAATAATAATAATAATAATAATAATACAAGAAAACATTTGCCCCATAACGCACGAGGTTGGAGTAGGTCAAGTATAATATATATATATATATATATATATATTATTAAATCAAATTATATACATCATTTTATTAGCTAATATATTAAACACATCATTGAAAAAATTTATATTTATTTTTTCCTCGGCGGGATTATTGTGAAACCAAAAGGAAACTTGCTTCAATTTTTAAATGAATAAACCAGTGAAATTTATAAATTCAACCCATAATTAAAAATATTAGTATAGTCGTAATATATTTGTATAACTTGTATATTTTTACACAATTTTATTTACCAATGATGCAACAGAGGTAAATAACGGAACGGAACTATGTACAAGCAAGCATATCGGAGGGGTTTACGTCCCCAAATTTTTTTGGTTTAATGAATATTTAGGTCCTTATAAGTTTAAAAAGTGATTGAATTAAATATTAACTTTTAAATTCGAGTTTAAATCAATAGGTCGCTTTTATTTTTTAAATTAATATCTTTCTATCTTTAATTTTATTTTCATCCATGTTATTGATGTGTAAAAGTTTTATATGAAAATATTTTAAATTAAAACTCATCTTTAAATCACCCAAAATCATGCCCATGTCTGCACTACCTCTGTTGAGTTTCCCTTTGTTGATTTTTTCAATTAATTAATTTTAAATATTTTCCATCAACACCAACCACATGTATAGTCTTAATTTATACATATGTGTACATGATAATTCAAAGGATAATATACACCACGGATCACTCAATTATTACTAACATTATAAATGGGTCATTGAATTAAAAATGTTATAGATGGGTCAATCAATTTATTGATTGCTACAAACAAATCACTTCATCGTTAAACACATATGTTAACTTTTTAATCCAATCATTCAATTTACGACTATCAAAATCATGTCACTCAATTATAATAAAAGGTTAACATCTTTAACATACTTAATGACATAGTGACATATTCGTAATGATCGATTAATTGAGTGATTTATTTGTATATTTTCAAAATTCAATGACTCATTTATTATCTAACTAATAATTAAATGAGTTGTGATACATTTTAACCTAATTAAAACTATGGATTAAAAAGTTAATGAAAGGGATCTTTCTACGCTCTTGTTCCATTAAAATTGTATTTTAAAGGGAGCAATATTCGTAAAGATTTCAAAGTTAAGTAGTTTTATAAAATTTAATAAATAATCAGACGAGTAATCGTTGTTGACAGTCACACATGAAATAATAAGGGGATTAGGTAGGGTTGAGCAACGAAATCGAAAAATTGATTCAAAATGAATTGTGGTTCGGTTTGATTTTTTAATTTATGGGTCAATTTCGGTTCAGTTAAATATATATATATAATTTAGTTCGGTTCCTATTTTTCTCTATGAAAACAGTTTGAACCAAATTAAAAAATAAAAGAAAATAAGTATCCAAAACTAAGATAATGTGTTGTTTCGGTTTTTCAATCTCGTAATAAAATTTAAAAATGTATTGTAATTTTGCAGGTATATCTAATTTACAGATGATTATATTATTGACGTCATAGTATTTGTTGGTGACATTCATCGTGAAGTAAATCTTAAAAGAAATAAGAAATAAATACATAATATAAATTTCCATAAAAAATATTAAAGGATGAAATTTACATGTTAATAAAAAGAATTTTGCTATAATCAACATTAAATTATAAGGTAATTATACAAAAACACATTAAACCTTAAAATTCTAGTTGTATGCATATAGCAGTACGAAATATAATAATTAAGGGTGATAACAAGTTGGGTCAGGTTAGATTTCTGATCCACTCGAATTCGATCCAAAAATTGTATTCCTCAACCGACATCTCACCCACCTAAGTTTAAGAAAGATTCACTTGATCTGAAATTCAATCCGAATTTTAAGATAAAAATTTCACCCGATACAAATATAAATATTATCATTTTTATTTGATAAAATATGAACTTGATTGAATATATACATGGTAAGTCCCACATTGAATGTGTTGGGCATTTTGAAAGGAGACCTTTAATAATGCGTAAAAGCCCTATCTCGCCATGGGCTAGCTACCGTAGCATGTGAATCTGTGGCTTTTTATTAATGTTTGTGAATATGTGGCTTTTTATTAACGTTTGTTTTTATTGGTAAGAGTGTAAATGAATCAAATTTGAATAAATAAAATTGTATTAATGTTTGTTTGTTTAATTTTAAAAGTGTTCATATTCAATTCATGTTTGTTTAGTATTAGATTCGTACAGGGACGGACGCAATATTTTAAGTTAGAGGGGGCAAACTTGAACTCGTAAAATTTCAGGGAGACGGATTAGAAGTTATTAAATTTTAGTGGGGCGAAAACATATTTTCAATAGAAAAAATCTAAAATATATAGTAATTTTATACTTTTAGGGGGCGGTCGCCCCCACCCGCTCCCCCTAGGGTCATCCTTATATTCGTATTCGTTTATTTATTTTTGATAGTATTTGTATTTGTCTGTTTAGTGTTCACGAACATATTTGTTTAATATTTGTGAACATGTTCGTTTAATGTTCAAAACCAACACTTTCTTTTTATCTTTTCATTGCAAGTCAAAGAAAAATGGTCAAACTATGTCACTAGTTTGAACTTCAAAGTTTACCTTATGTACAATTTAGTCCTTATCTTCACCTATGTTTAAAATATAAAAAAAAAGGAAAAAAATCAATAAACGAGCTTGTTCGTGAAGATAGATGAATCGAACATGCTTATATTCGTGTTCGCTTGCTTATTAAATGAATATGCAAATTTTGTTCATATTCTTTTATTTAGATTAATAAACGAACATTATACAAATAATTTATGAACAACTTATCGATCGTTCTATTTATTTACACTCCTACTTATCCAGAATAATAAAAAAAAGTAAGTTTATGAATTTTTTTCAATCCAAATAAGTAAGAAAATTGACTTCCCAATTTTAGTAAAATATAGTAAGAAAATTCAAAACGAAACATTTTTTTCTATTTTATTATGAAAACTCTATTCTCAAACATGTAAGTGGACTGATAAAAATTTTGATTAAACAATAGGTAAAGTACACATTTAGTACCTAAACTTCACTTTTGATCCGTTTTAGTAACTAAACTTTCAATATTTTCAAAATCATACCTAACGTTTAATTTTTATTTCATTTTGTACCCATCGTTAAAAACTTAACGCATTTAAAACTTAATGCGTTTAATACCTAAACTATCAATTTTGGTCCATTTTAGTACCTAAACTTTCAATTTTTTTCAAAACATAATATTAAATTTTGAACGAGAGTACTAAAATGAAATAAAAACTAAACTGTAAGTATGATTTTGGAAAAAAATGAAAATTTAGGTACTAAAACAAACCCAAACTAATAGTTTAAGTACTAAATGCATAATTTACCATAAATAATATTTGATAATTTGGGGATCCATTTAGTATATAATTAAGCTTCGAAGACCAATTTAGATTTTGAGTATTGTTTTGCCTACCCAAGCCTAAAAATTAAAGAAACAAAAACTCGAAGGCATGGGCTTTACAATTACATGAACAAACGATTAATATTCATACATTACATGGCTGCATGGAAACAACAGAATTTGATGCTTGGATTTATGCTACTGTATATACTTGAAGATTTCAAATCCCTTCTTCATTTAACAATCATCAAGGATGATGATTCCAAGCTCTACAGCCCAGAAGTTGCAAGTTTATTGACCAGAGCCAAAGCATTACTCGTAAAGTACGACGATCTCAAAACCTTGTACTGCACCATCTTGGCCTGCTTCCCCCTGGGATTCTCGAACCCATCCAAGCAGGTATCTTGATCGGTTAGCGTCGCACTCAACCAGGTCGCCACGTCCCCCATCTGTTCGTAAAAATGCCTGGCGCTTAGATTCCGAAGGACCCCGAGTGAGCAGTGGAGTTGGTCGATGGCATCTCGAAAGCACTCGATGCAATCCGAGAGTGTGAGTCTGTACCTCCCTCTCATCTCCCTGCGTTTCTTCACCTTCAACAAGTACTGGGTGACTTTCTTGGTTTCTCCTATGGTCACCGAAACCCCGGCTCGAGCCCACCTGCTCGGGCTTATCTTGGCGGAGCTGGAAAAGGGTGCTAGCGTGCTGATACAAAGGGCACGATATGTGGTCACGCTGCATGCTTCTTGCACGTAATTGCTTGCTGATTGACCCCATTTTAGGATGCTTAGGAGAAGCAGGAGTGTAAGGTAAATATTGGCGTTTGCCATTAGCCTTGAGTTACTTGGATTTTAAGAAAAAGGATGGAAGAGCCCTTTGTTGTGTGAACTACATGATTTCTCTGGATCTGCAGAGGATAGCTCTTTATAAAGGGGATTTTTTTTTAAGACTTGGGTTTAGGTAATGCAAAGAAGTTAATTGTATCTTCGAAAACTATAGATATAGCTTTTTAAATGATCTTACATGGTAAACTATATATCTAATACCTAAATTATCAATTTTGATCCATTTTAATACCTAAATTTTCAATTTTTTCAAAATCATATCTGACATTTAGTTTTCATTTCATTTTAGTACTAAAACATATCAGAACTAATAGTTTATGTACTAAACGCATAATTTATCCTTCTTGTAAATAAAACTCCCACATATCTGTCGTGTTCGTGTTAATACGATTATTTGTTATTGTTAATAATAATATTTGATACATTATTTGTTATTGATAATATTAATATTTTTGTTTTGTAATATTAATCTCACCGACACGGGTACATTTCTTGAAAATGGAAAAGGAAAAGCGAGAGAAGGGTGAAAGCAATAAAATTCAGATAGGATTATTGGAATAGGTTATAAAGTGTGCAGAACATGTGAGAGAACAATTGGGTTACTCGTGAATTTGGATTCAGATTAGTTATATTCCCTTTTTGATAAGTAGAAAACGTTGATGACTGTGCAAATGATCGCATAGTGCTTTTACAACAACAATTTTTTTATTAAACTAAAGTAATTGTAAAATAATATTCTCTCAATCATTTAACAATAAATATCAAATCACCTTTGTTACAATCGCTGATCCTCGAACTCAAAACTTTTAAGAATAACAATCATATCTTAACCACTGAAATATGGTTCGTGCAACCTTCAGTGCTTACATCAAGATTAAATTCTTGTTTAGATTTCAAGCAAATTCTATTTTTGTGAAAAATGTCACGTCCAAGGGTTAAACTCAGCATGAAACTAATCTCATATATAGGTTTTCAAGTTGTACTTATCACTGAGTTGTATAATGGTAAAACAAGGCAAATGAGAGGAGAAAGATTAAGAAATGGCTAATAGGCTTAACGTGCAAAACAAAGTTATCAGGTAAGGCGGACGTATAAGTTGATGTTTTGCTGAATAAGGACGATTTTCTGTTAATTTCGGTTACTTTCTAGCATCAATATATCTTTGGACAAAATACACCTCACGTCTCCTAATTATTGATTTAGTTATAATCAGTCACATTTGTTTTTTGAAAAAAAAAATTATCATTTAATCATTCAATTAAAATATTATCATGCACAAACCAAGTAACCTCAATGGTAAAAGATTATTGTTATTCCATGAGATCTCGAGTTGAACACCATAAATGCTAAAAGTACGAGTGTTTATTGTCAAATGATCAAGAATTATTTTTAAACATATATTACCTTGTACTTGGTACTTATCCCAAATTAATAAAAAATACTATTACAAATAAATCACTGACAGTTAAAATTAAAATAATTTTAATAATTAACTATTTGGTTATAAATCGACACAATTCAATATATCTAATCTTTCATATTTAAAAATTTTATTAATTTAATAATTTTTTACTATCAAACTAAATGAATTCGTCAAATCAAGAAACATTGATTAGCTACATTCAGCTGTAGAACAAGAAATTATTGTTAACTTTTTATTATAATATGAAAGCAACAAAAAATCTCTACGAGAGGAATAAATACTAATTTAATAGAATTCTTCAAACGTGAATGATTAAATTCATTGAATTGTTTTAAATTAAGACCAAATTAATATATTAAAACTAATATTATATCAGACGACGTTACCACTCCATCCAATATTTAATGGCAAATAATCAATTTGTAATAATAATATAATTGGGTGACTGATTTATAATTTTTTTTAAATGACACATTTGTAACCAAATTAATAATTGAACATCATTTTTTTTAAAAAGGATAGGTAGAAGGTACTGAACAAATCCTCATTTAATTCGAGTCACATGATTCTATCAAATCAATGATGCAATTCACAAGAATTAGTGATCATGGCAGTTAAAACGTCAACTTTTATCTAGTGATCCTAGCAGTTTTTGATAATTTTGAGCGCAAATTACAGGTGAATTGCATCATATAGACATACATGCTTCATCACTAGTGTCGGGCATTAGTGATGCCTCACGGAGCTGTTGCAGATATAATATGAACATAACCAATTACCTTGTAGAAACCCTCTCCGTTTTATGGTGTGAAATGCGGCCAGCAATATTTACGAGCGAAACCTTAGAACTAGGTATAACTCAAAGCAGACATAACCAATGAATTCTCGAGAAGTTTACCGGTCATGCAGATGTTTGTGGAACACGGATCCATAGTCACCAAACTGGATATCACTAGGTGGGTGCAGGTCAAACACATATGAGACCGACCTCGATGTCAGCATTGGCTTGCTAACTGTAACTGCATCCAGTAACTCCCCAAAGCTTGCTTCGTCAAGCAGAAATGACTCCGTAAGGAAGAAGAAGCTCTCTCTCGCCAACTTTTCCACCTGAAAATATACCACACCTCAACACAAGTTAAAAAAAATGAAAAAAATCAAGAGAATTTTAATTCCACGATCACTACGGCCTATGATAAGAGCATAACATTGGTATGGGCATTGATGATTTACCTCTAGTTGTGAAAATTTGATGTTGTTCATGGAAAGAATAATTTTAACCTCAAAAAGGGCATCACTCAATATTCGGATAGCCAGATACTCAAAAAAGTTCTGCACAAGAACTTTCTGTGCATCCAAGTTTTCACTATGCCCATCGAGATAAGGAAACCACAGGACGATCTTGACTTCATTCCATGGTATTCGGTTCTCCCCTGTGTTTGAAATAATGGTCTGGTAGGGATGATGGAGACCCCATAGGATTCTGACATCGGTCAATAATGGGTCACATATCGATGCTTCTGCCAAACTCGTAGTAGAGATAATTCTTGACGGCTTGCAATAGTTAGCAAGATTTGAGGTGAAATGCATATTAGCGTCATCCAACAAAAGGAAGTATCCATCGGAAGAGGTTGCTAATAGTTGTAGAAGAGGTGAGGGATCTGCATGATCCGCTTCTGGTAAACATACATTGGAGCCATTCGATGAGGTTGAGTGATACGAATCATGAGAGAAGGAACACAGATCTCCATTCCTACAACCCTGCAAAACCATTTACACAGTATTAAAAACTAAACCATGAGAAATTATCATGTGCTAATGACGCTGAAGTTAACAAGTGATGAAATTATTAGTCCTGACAGCATCCAATGTCATCAGTGATCCGACTAACTGCAAGTGAATATATATATATATATATATATATATATATAGTTTGTTCCATTTGTTTTAACAAATTATAGAAACTTTAAATAGTAATAGATATGAACTATAAATCATATACATTCTCCGTACAAAATGCAAGCAAACAACAGACCAGATCATGTCACCGTGTACATGATCGTTATAAAAAACTAAAATGTTGAAGGCTGCATAAGCACCATCCAAACATTCCACTTTTCCATCCCCAACCATGTCAATGAAATACAAGCAGACTATATTCATAAAAGTCTGCTCCTTCCATCTGTAAAATTTGATGTTCCACAATTACCTCAAAATAAGATGCACATAATCACTAGTGGCAACACAAAGGTAATAAGGATACAGTGGGTTTCAACTTGCCCCAGTGGTGAAATTAACAACATATTTGGTCACGTATGGTACTCGAAATATCATTTTCAAGAACTAGAGCAAAAGATACCTGAAGAGAGAAAAAGAATTTGCAAGCTGGCTTTTTAGCTTGGAGTGAATGAGAAAATCTGCAGAGACTACCCCTGTTGCAACTTCCATTCACAAAATAAACACACAAAGAAGTCTCTCCATCAAAGTGCAAATCATAGACATTATTAATTGCCTGGTAATTACCAGAAAAGTCTTCTGCATATTGAACTCTTATCTGTTGAATATAACAATAAAAGATAAATTAAATATGCCCAAAAACGAAGAGGATGAAAACATGGTATATATATAATAGTACCTTCTTAATAGTATTTGCCAAGTTTTTGGCCACATCATTAGTCCGAAAGTGATCAGAAGGAACAAACGGTACAGCAACACATTTCCTTAATTCAAAAGATTCCTCATGTTGTTCATCACTAGAAGGAGCATCTATTTCTCCCTGTGGCTGACATTCAAGAAGGCAAGTGTGTGTAAACTCATAAGGATGATAGTAGGTTGGAATGCCATTAGATGCAGGCAGAAAGTATGGCCGGAAACGGTGCATGGAATTTAATATATCTTCATCTGCAACAGAAAGATGATCAAGTTGAGAAGAAACTAAAAGAAAACAATTAAGTCCTTATGCTTTTATGAACCTCTGTGTGTGTGTGTGTGCGTGAGACAGAGAGAAAGAGACGAGGCCGGTATTTTAAATTGGACAATCAATGTTTAATACACAAGACCAGAAACAATCACACAAAATTGTGTTGAAAAACAAAAAGGAAATTTAATATTTATCAATTCATACACATTTGAGAGACATGGTGCAACGATGACTGCAGAAGATGATGGAAAGAGCACCATTCTTCTTCAAGCTTTGGCAGCAATAATGTTGCAGGTTTCATTTCTTCAAACTCCAGCACTCTTTCCAAATGTTCAAGACGGTGCTTATCCTACAGAAAGAGGGAACACATTAACATAAGTTGAAAATTAGTACGGATGGATGAAACCTCGGCCAATTTTGAAGACACAGTACCTTAAAAACACGTTGCCAGAACTGATATGCACAAAGGTTTCCTAAGAATGAGACCTCCTTCCGACCAGTTAGGACAATTTTACAGAAGTAGCAGTTTATGTACTCTGTAAACTGAAGTAAAAAAATGTTTATGAGAAAGAAAATTCACATAAGGGTACCCGTAAAACACAATTTTATGACTTAATGGGCAGTACCAAATGCTCATCTCCAAAAGGATGAAGAATAGGTAGAGGTTGAGTATCCATAAATATTCCCAGAAGAATGCCTTCTCGCAACATCCCAGCTTCTCCAAACTTTACAACAAGCACGGATGCATCAAAAGACAATGAGAA